AATGACAATAATAGCATAAAATGACATTATTGCAAGAGTAGGTGAACACCTAATATATGCAAATCAAAAGCAGGATCAACTGCACCCCAAAAAAAAAAAAACACTGTGAAACAAAAAAAATTGTACAGGTAGATATGGCTCCTGCCATGTTTCTAAGAAAGTCTTTATCAGGGGAAACAGTTCAGCATTTTTTTTTCAATTTTCACTGTTTTTTTCTTTTCATGTCATTCTTATTATTCAAAAATACCAGACACAGTCAATCAAAATTATAAAAACATTGACTGGTATTATATAACAGATACAAGTTTTAATGAAAAGCCTAAGTATCTATTAAATATTGGCACAGTATATATGCTGTTCCTAATCCTGCCGTTTTTTGTAGCTCTGATGGTATTATTTCTGAGATCTGCAACTGCTTATAATACTGTATGAAATTTCTTGGTATTGTTTCCAAAGCACTATAGTGGCCACTGAAATGTGTTTCAGCTACAAACAATATGTTTCGATTGCCAGATTTCTATATTTTGTTAGTTTTTCAAATTTTTTATTTTCAACTCTGGCATCCCCTGGAATTGCAATGTCAATGATCCAGACATTTCTTCATTCTATTACTACTATATCTGGTCTGTTATGTTCAAGGTGTCTATCAGTATGGATCCGGAAATCCCACAAGATCTTGACTTCCTATTTTCTGAAACTTTCTCTACCTGATGTTCCCATGGGTTTTTGGAAACTGGCAAGTTATATTTTGCCACTCTATCATGTCTAATTTTATAATGTTTGCACAATCCTTGGACATTCACGAGGTGTGACACAGTTTCATCCTTTTCTCCTCAGAGTCAACATTTGCTGTTAGCACTAATTCCTTGATTTATAGCTTTCATCACATTGGTTTGAAGTGCTTGTTCCCGTGCAGCAAAAATAAAGCCATTGGTTTCTTTCTTAAGGATCCCCAGTTTGAATGATCATGGCTTTCCATCAATATTTCTCAGGTATTGTACATGCAGTGGTTTATTTTCCAACTATTTAATTTATTTTCACATAGTTGTTTCTTATATTGAGCTTTTGCTGTTTTCAAAATATTCTCAATATTCACTACCTTAAGTAATTTTTCTCTACTTGTACTAATATAATCATTTAGGCTTCTTTTTTTCCTCCTCTACTACCCGCTTTATTTGCAGTAATCCATGGTCTCCAATTTTTCATGGTAAATATAATCTGTCTACATCACTTTTTTTGATGTAATGTGTGATGCATGTGCATTAGTTTCTATGTTTTTTGATCCAATTCTTCTAATTCATTTTGGGTCCAATGTTTTATTTCCGCTGGGAATCTAATTAACTGGAACTGTCCTTGTGTTTGTAGCTTTGACTGTATTCCCACAATTTAATTTTGATTTTAAAATTTTCCAGTCTTTTGTTGTATTCCCTTTCTGTCAGTTCTTCAACATGTGCAGGATGCTGTTGTGGTGGTGGTGGTGGTGGGGGTGGGGGTGATGATGATGATGAATTGCAAAACATGGTCAAAACAGCCAGGATTGCCAATATATTCTCCAAAAATTACATCTGAAGTTCCTCAAACATCATCATCATCATCAGTAGTAGTAGTATTGTTGTTGTTATTGTTGTGGTGGTGGTGGTGGCGGTGATGAATTGCAAAACATAGTCAAAACAGCCAGGATTGCCAATATATTCTCCAAAAATTACATCTGAAGTTCCTCAAAGGGTATCTGAAAATCTACTGAGATTTCAATTTCAATTCAGTAAATTTCAAGGCAAGTAAATCTGAATACAGGTTTCCTGAATCCTACAGCAGCTCTCAAATCATTATATCACAGTGGTTCTCAATTCTGGTCCTTTGCCACTTCAAAATCACCACTCCATTAGTGTTATGGGGGAAAACTGTCAAGAACAGATGGGCACGAATTAAAAAATCAATCAACAAATTCATTAAAAAATCACCCATTCGTTGATTCATATTTGTATGAATCAATACCCCTGGCAAATACGAATCAATGAATTTTAGCAATTTTTGATTCATAGATTCATTTGGCTATAAACACAACACCCCCAGGAACCTAGAGATACCAAAATTGCAGGGAAGCATCCTCTGACTCTCCCCTACAATCCCTCCAAGTTTGGTAAAGACTGGGTTTCAGGTGTCCAAGTTATACACCCACAAACAGCCCCCCAGGAAAGTTTCTCCCAGGCACCTAGAGACACCAAATTTACAGACAAGCTTCTGCTGACTGTCCTCTACAATCCCTACAAGTTTGGTAAAGATTGGGTTTCCCCATGCCAGCTGCTAATGGGTACTTTCCTAGGGGGAACCCCTCTTTGTGGGTGTGATTTTGGTGTCTCTGGAAAAATGCAAGTACAGGTACAAGTTTATATGGGTTCTAGATGATTGACCTCAGAGGATCTCAGAGGGATCAAATGGCACAAAAGATTTCCAAGAATCTCTGCCCTCCAACACCTATCAGCCTATATTTCCAGGCACACAAAATGGAACTTCCATACCAAGCCACCTCACAAGCACTGCATGCACTGTTTGTTTATTTTTAGATGCTACAAATGCAGAAGGAAGGGAAGGAGGGAAAACTGGAGTCAGCTTCAAGTAAATGAATTGCCAGGAGGAAAAAGCTGAAAAGAGCTCATTTACACCAATAATGTAAAAGCTTATAAAGACGTTTCTGTTTTTCAAATCCTCAGATCATCAGAGCTTAAAGCAGGAGCAATAAACAATTTCGAAAACCCCAGATATTTCATACAGTTACAGCCCCCCTCAAGGCTCACTAGTCCTGGAACCTTTGGTCCTGTCAGAAAGTAGAAAAGCTCGAAGTCTAGAGCAGCATCAAAAGAGATCAGCTCGGATACGGCCATTTATTTCAGGCAGAATGTAAGGCCCATTACGGCCACTCTTAACACCCTCTAACGATCCTCTGAAATGTGTCCATTTCTCCTTCTGTTAACACACACAGTGCAAGAACACACACACTCCTCCAAAAAAAGGGCCTCTGAGAGTGAATTCACCCTTATCCTGTGCAGTAAGATTTTCTTAGTTCCATAGATTTGTAAAAGCATACACAAACTCAATGATCATTTAGGCTCCTCTTTTCTGTACCCCTTCCCTCTCTACAATTTTACTTTATTTTTTTCTATTTGGAAATGGAGCTAGCAAAACTGTACATGTGGTTGCACAATAGCTTCATAATAAAGGAATTATTTCTTATTGCTTATTTCTGCACTGGATTGAATATAGTTGTCTAATGTCTCAGGAAGCACTAGATTACATCTCATACATAATTTCAATGTTAAGATTTATATACAACGTATCTATTAAAATATAATATAAACACATAGGCCAAAATGCTGCTGATATTTTACATGCATGCATTATTATGGCTAATAATTGCTGCACCTTGTTATGGGTAACTGACGAGATGCCAAGGGCATGCCAGGTGCAAAACTGGAAATGAGACCAGGCAAACAACTAGCATACTCCTGACATCTCAACACTTCAACGTGGCAGCTCACCTAATTCCTCTTATATGCATATAAAATCCCAACAGATTTGGGATTAGATTCAGAGGGTCTGCAATCTTGCACCCAGACTTCACTGAGGTAGACATCTCTAGGATTCTGTTAATTAGTTACACCTTGGCCCAAACCTGTAAAGGGCTCTGAAGGTCAATACGAGCACGATAAAATGGGCAGGGAAGCCAGTGCAGCTGGCAAAGCACAGGTGTAATAGAAGTTCATAATGCCCAGTCCCAGTAAGTAAACTCGCAGCTATAATCTGCATTCAATGCTATTTCCAAACAGACTTCAAAGGAAAGCCGCATATTGTGTATTGCGATAGTCTACCTTATGCTTCACTCAGTTATTGGCCTTTTCTAGTACATAGCTATGTCCAGGCAATGATTTGGTGGTTTCATTGTTACACCTGAACTTAATGAAAATGAAAGGGGTGTATTGCGATAGTCTACCTTATGCTTCACTCAGTTATTGGCCTTTTCTAGTACATAGCTATGTCCAGGCAATGATTTGGTGGTTTCATTGTTACACCTGAACTTAATGAAAAGGAGATGCAAGGGTGTCTGGCACACATATACTGATGTCACTCTCAGCAAAATCACTGCATGACCACACCCAGCATATGATGTAGATGTTAAGTAAGAAGGTGTTGAGGAGATTACTCTGGGGGGACTCAGAAGCAAGTAGAGCATTTGAGATTTCTTCTACTGTACATCTGTTGACAGTAGCTACAGTGCACATCAAAGACAAGTACAGTTGCTTCAAGATAATATTATGGTATTTCTGACACAAACACAGATGACAACGGGTGTGTGTGTGGGGGGTGTCCTTGTCTTATTTTAACGTTCTCTGCAGCCCAACAGCATTTGATAAAATCTCCACGGATATGGGAAAAGGCCCAACAATTTGGAAACCGACCTCCCTTTTGAGTTCCCATGGTCATTGCTGCCCAGAAGAGTCATGCTTGTCTCTACGTCTTCCGTAACATCAGTGCTGTATGTAACACCTTGTGCTTCACTCACTTATTGGCCTTATCTAGTACATAGCTATGTCCACTTGAAAAGCTGATACAGGTTATTATAGAATGTTGAGCTAAATGTCAAGTCAGCAAGCATCAAAATGAGACCGCATGTCAGGGGCAAACTGACTGGAGCTTTTCACATAGCTACGTCAGAATGAAATTGAAATCAAAGGAAAGGACTACACAAACTTTTTTTCTTTGGCCTAAACTGTATGAGTAGTGGTCATGCTTCACAAAATGCCTTTATGAAGCATAAGCACTTGAGCCCTTGGGCAATGCATTCTGCCTGCTAAAAGAATATCACAAATAGCAAAAAACAAAACAAAACCACGAAATGCCATACTCTGCCAAAAATTAGCAATAACTATGTTAAGCTCTGAAAGATCAGCGAAGGAATAATGCAGGATAGCAGAATGGAAAGGAAATCTAGAGAGAACTAATACCTTATATTAAAATCAAATTGAAAGTTCTTTTTCCTTTCCAGAAGCAACCAAAAGAAAAATAAATAAATTATTACATTCATGGATACAAACTTTAAAGTTGGACATATATATTATCATAGTTGCATGGGGACCATACCATTTTCCTGTAACATTCACAACTGAACACTTTTTGCAAAGTGTAGTCTTATTTTCATTTGAACAACAGATTATCATTCTGAGCCACAAATCACAGCTATCATAACTGAAGTTCTGCTTTCTCATTCACAGATCATTGCTTAGCCCAGTTCTGTGGACTCATTTATACCATAAAATTAAAAACAGTGTGGTAATATTGTGAGGATTCACTGCCAATACTTTAAAGTTCAATGTGCTTGGAAAGTATTGCCCTTTGGCAGGATTTCCTATCAAGAGGTCGTTTTCAAAACAAGGTACCTTTTCTGTTTGTAGGTCAACATTGCTTCTGCAATGGGTAACTGATGTGCACAGTTTGCTCCAACTATGTACTGGGTTATTCTGGAGACAATATCAGGCAAGTCCTGGGCTAAAATAAAGCAAAGAAACAGAAGTAACACAATCATCGACCATGCATTTCTCAAGAAGAGCCTTGCTGAAACAGATACCAAAGGCCTCTCTCCTCTCATGCTCCAAAAGCACCCAGTGTCATGCCTCTAGAGACACAAAAGCAGTGCATAATAGCCACCATCATCACGGATGGTTTGTCTGATATCCAAGACAGTTATATATCGAATGTCTTCAGTGTAATCCAATTTTTTTTTGTTTTCATTTATTTTAAAAACCAGGCAGTTAAAAACACAAAGTAATCTCCTTACTTTCTAGTTACAGTTTAATTAAAATTGGGTTATGTTCTGTATGTGCTACAACTCCAAGAGTAATTTGTTTTATCAATGTACTCCCCATTGCCTAAAACTATTTCAGTATAGTGACATCTCTTTGTTACTGAGGTTCAACAGATAGGACAGAGATGTATTTTGAACTTCAGAACCACATTCCTTGAGGGTGAATTCTGCAGAGGGGGCCTATTCTTCAGCGGGAGGCAATGGTAAAAGCAGACTGGAGGCCATTTACAAGAAGATGCACGTACATATATACATATGAGGTTCATGCACATACATGCATGCATATGCACACACAACATGTACAGAGATGAACACATATGCTCAAGCACATTTACACAGACACATTCTTCCAGGCTACCTACATTTGGAGGACTTTGAGGAAGCCTAGCTACCAGACTCCTGAGCTCAGCAAGATTTAATTTCCCTTTTTTAAAAGTAGTCTTTTTGATAATAGCGTGAGAGTCTCCGGCAATCCAAGGGCAGCCTAACAGCCTGGCCGCACCTCCTGAAAGCCACTAGACATGCCTCAAAATGCAAGCAGCCAAGCTGGCTGTCCACAGAATGTCTGTACTTCACAGTGCAGGCAGCCCACTTGTGAGCTGCCCCAAAATACAGCTGGGCTAGAGCACCTACTCCCAGGGCACAAGGTTCGTTTCTCAAGTTAACATTTCTTAAGTTAAAGATGACAACAGCATGCTATCTCTTAATTAAATAGCAGGGATGGACCTGAGAAATTGAGGACGAATGGAGCTCTCTCCTGCCTCTTTTCCTCTTACTGCTTATCACTACAAGTAACATTAAAAAAACCTCCTAACACTCATTTCCCTCATATGCTTAATATTTACCTATTGCTGAGAAAAAGGAGAGAAGGGAGATTGTGAGTAGGAAAGATTAATAAGCTTTGCCTTCCCACAGTCTCCCTCAGTGCTTCACAGTAAACAGGTAAGAAGCAATGAGGAAGGAACTGCCCCAAGTCCTTTGACTCATTGGCTCCTGGCAGGACAGGGCAGGCTTCCCCTTCTCTTGCTTATCCTGTCCTTTGGCAATTAGTACTTCAAAGTGTTTCAGGTACGTCTTGAAGTACTAGTTGGTCGGTTCCCAATGGATTCAGATTACCTCTTCCCTAACTTTTCTTCCAACAAAAGAGAGACCTTGGCAAATCCTCAGCAAGCTACGTATATAGGAAGATCTAATGGGTCTCAGCTTCCCTCTCATTATTCTATACAGCAGAAGGCAGATACCAATACAGAATTATTCTTTAGAAATACTCCAAGTGGATGCCACAAAATTTTCTTGCAGATCCCTGGTGGAATATGTTTGTTCAGGATACGTCATTCTATTTCCACTTTCTCCTGGCTTTCCATTCCACACACACACCAGGAATGTTCTCAGTGAGTTATTGTAATATAAAACCCCTCTTAAGTTTGTGGGAGGAAGATTTAATTTCTTGTACTTCTGTAAACTTTGGCTTTCTCTGAGCCTGCCAGTCAGTTATACTTGTGGGCACAGATGTTCTTGGCTACACAGGTACTGTACAAACACTCTGAGAGCTGAGATTGTTACTAATAGATATAATTAGAATCTATAAGGAAAACTCAACTGCTGAACACAAAAATCTGTGCCTGCAGGAAGATCAAATAAAAATTAAGGTAAGAGTGTTGATGCCCCTAAAGTCTGGTACAAATAGAAAAGTGAGAAGATTGCAGAAGCAAAACAGTAATAATTTTCTAAAATGAGCAATTCAAGCAGGCTGCACCAGGCAACTTTACTCAGTGAGCTTACCAGCATTTTGTGCTTCAAGTTTATTAAATAAATCTCTCCAGGATATATCTTGGAAGAAGTTGTTGTATCGATAATCAACTGAACCCAAATACTTTGCTACTGGATGACAACCTACAAAGAACACAAAAATAAATTCACTCATTAAAAACTGTTTCTAATATTTTCAATTAAAAACTAAATAGCCAGAAGTGAGATCATAAGTGAACTTTTCTTCCACAGGAGACATAAAACTAGTAATGCAGAATATAGGACCCAAATGACAAACAAATCATTGATGGATAGGAAAAAAAAGGCAAGAGAAAGGTTTCAGCTGGAAATTCATTAATGAGAAGGTCAACAGGCCACAAGACATGACAAAAGGTCACTCCTAATGTTATTCATTGCCACAAGGGATATCATGACATATGAATTTAAATCCAGATATATTAAGATCATTTTCTCTGATTACTTGAGAATTAGCTAACATTTGGTAATTTAATTCCAGGGAGCTTTCGATGGTAGGAAATCTAAGAACACACGAGTTAGGTTTGCATTTATTTATTATATATGTGCCTTTCCATGTTTTAACTTTCCCTTCCTATCCATCCTCAATTATAAGCTCTAAAGACAAGTTGTGATGTAAACCACTGTTTTCTGGCAGATTATTATGCATGGTAACTTCTATCTTGCCCCAATTATTATAGGTTTCCTTCTCATCCTTCAAGGATTATGGGAAATACTAAAGTACCTGAATGAAGGAAACAAGTAAAGGTAGTTTTTCACAAAGGCCTTGGCGGAAACGAAGCAAAATTATCCAAAGAATTTGGAAATGCACTTGGGCACCAATAGATTGATGCATGGAGAATTCATTTTCCAAATCTATTTTCTGAGAGCCCCAAAGTATTGATGCGGCTCCTCCATGCAGCACTTTCTGTGATCTGTAGAAATTCCATCTCTATTTCATGTCTTCCTTTCACTTAAAAATCACCTGTCTATAGTGTTTGCACCTTACAATGTCTTTCAGGACAAACTGCGATTCTGTTGTCCAGGGAAAATAAATCATGAGGAACTGCTGTAGTTTTAGTTGGCATGAGAGAGCCACATACAAGGTCTTTTCCATGGTCTCCTCCTGGTGGGGAGTTGCACGGTGCATGTGTGGTCAACGTTTTATGAATCTCCACAGATGACTATTACTGAAAGGAGATCTACAGGTCTGCATCCCATAATCTTTTAAGTATGTGATATGACTCTTATTCAGAACCCTTTTTTTCCTATCATCCTGCAAAAGTTATTGGTGTTCACTCCTCTTGGTAACTTAAAACAAAACAAACAACTAAAAAGGGAATAACTTCTATTCTTTTTCGCTATTGGTTTTCCAAGATAAAATGGATGAGGAAGTTGGAAGTGTGGTGAAGCTTTGACTACTAACCAACCTCTTCCATTCTATTACAGAGGTGGGAATGAGAATGACAGTAAATTTTCTAAAGGCTCCAACCACCAAATGCTTCAGCACAGAAAAACTGAAATAACAGTTCTTGTAGCACTGCAAGCTATCAACAAAAGCTTAGATTCAAGAGAGAATGAAAAGGCTTATTTACCTAATGGTATGATGAGAAATCTCATGTAACTGAGCCAGTCTGGGGTTCGGCGAGACAACTGTTCTACAAAGAGCCTCAATACAGCACTGAGGTAATTCTGAGCTCCAGCAACTGCAATTTTAATCGGATTGGGAGGCTGAGAATTGCAGTTACAGCTAAACAAGACAGAAGGAACAATTATTTAAATTACTGCTTTAAAAATAATCCTTAGATAACTGTAAGTACATATTTGTGACAGAGGAGCCTTATTCGGGCATTCATAATTAATACGTTAAGCAAAACAGTGTGGCGGCCTCACATGACCCCGCTGATCATCTTGCTCTACATGTAGACAGTGATCATTTTAAAGGAAACCTCCTGTTATGAATGGAAGCTATTCACATAACTGAGAACCCTGATTTTTCAGGGTTCTTGATCATATGGGAAGCATCCCTATGTAGAAGAGGTAATGTTCTTCAAAATAAAATTCACATCTGAAGTGATCTGCTAAGGCAGAGGTGTTTATTCCTCTTCCTCCTGTGTTTAATTTAATTTTTTTTAAAATAATGATTTTTGTCTACTGTAGTGGTTACTATTTACCGGTACTTTTGATACCATCATCGTCAGACACCTACATCATACCAAGTGAGATCAGTGATTCATCCAGTTCAATGTTGCCACACACTGGTTAACAGTTTCAGACAAAAATCGATCCCTACTGCAGATTCCAGAGAGCAAGTCATGGGCACTGCCACTGAACTATAGATTTTGATCACGTCCTTTACCACTGAGCTTCCCAAGAAACAATACAGTGATACTATAAACATGATATTGGGAATCTAATTATTACAGCTAGAGTTACTGTAGCAAAAAGAGGAGGGGAAAAATCAATCTCAACTTCCTGGTTACTTTTAAAACAACTAAGATAAATCAAGCAAACAAACAATGGTAAGTGTTAAAATGGTTTTGTTTGTTACTCGCGTACTGCTTTACACATTTCACTAACAATTTACAGCCCATTCTTGACTATAATGTTTCCCTCTATCAGAAGTTGGGTGGCAGGTTTGTCCTTGCTCAGGGAAAACACTCCAACTTAAACCACAATACAGCAGGCCATAAAATATGGATATAGAGAAACTTATATGCCAATTTTATCCCAACATTAACGGCACAATTTCAGGTTCTAGCAATGTCATCATGGGTTGATTTCCTTGTTCGTCTATTAATATGATTTATTCCATCCCTTGCCAGCAGTGCACGCACCTCGCCCCTGCATTCTACTCAAGACAACCTCTACACAAGGTAATACATGGAAATACTTCTGAGCACTTTACACCTAGAAAAACCTGGGAAAGTCATCTGGAAACTTAGACTTGTGTTTTTAATATTGTTCTTATTATGAGTTTTAATATGATGTTTAATGCTTTTTTTCAATATTGTAATAATTTATTATTTGGTTTTTAACTTTGTTTCTTTTAAATCCTGTAAGCTGCTTTGGATCCTTTAGGAGAAAGGTGGCATATAAATAATTTAAATAAATAAATACCTAGAAAAAAAACTGGGAAGGTCAATTAGAAACAACTCGATAGCACATAATTATGGCTAATTTTTATCAAGCTAGTATAATTTTTTTTTTATATTTCCAAAGTGCTGTAACAGATTTGGCCACCACGGTTTTCCCCCCAGAACTATATGGATTTGTTCTTTTTTGGACTACAAGTCCCTGAATTCCCCGGTGGCATGGGAGTTGTAGTCCAAAACTACAAATCTACATACATCTAACTTCCCTCTAATTTTTTTTCTTCTGATCTGTTGGTAAGACATTACAACATATTAATAGCACACAATGGAACAAATTACTTGCACAATCAAAGCAGCAATGACAACCTGCTTGCAACAAGTTCATGTAACATTCCAAGATGTGACTAGAATTTTCAAAGATAACAAAAGGAAAGAGAAACTACACAGCCTAAGATTAAATTAAAAAAAAACAGAACTTACTATCTCTGTATTCTGGACACAATGGTGCTAAATGCTGCCTGAATATCGGCAGACGAACATGTGCAAACTATTGGAAGGGCATGTTTTTGCAACACATCTGAAAGAAACTAAGAAGGACATACAAGTCGATCACAAAAAAGAACTTCCTGATAATTGTTTTACATAAATACATGCCACAGTTCAACAAAAACTATTCCAATAAGACAAACTGACACAAGTGTATGTGTAATAAGCTAGCACTCCTTTGCAGAACTTCAGCTTGAGAGAAATGTTGCTGCTTGTTGTAGTTACCTCTTTGAAATGCACAATTAACAAAATCCTATTCGCATAACTGCGTCGTATAACTTGGATGAGGAGACAGAAGTCTTTAATTTAAGATAATTAAGAGCTTCCTACCTTTTTTAGGTCCCAAGGCTAGCTAGGGCTCCCTTTTGCACTGGGGAAACCTTTGAGGGTTTCAGGACAGAGGGGTGAGGAGCTTTAATAGTCAAACACTGTCACTAGATTGCCAGCACTGGGATCACTGAGGTTCTATTCTGGATTGGGTGGTGTCACATACAGCACTGATGATACCTGTCTGTCATGGGTTTGGAGGGAAAGTTCCATCCTATGGGGAGTGGAAGGCGGGACATCAGGGGGAGGAGCTGCACTGTATATATATTGGGAGCTTGTGTGGAGAGTTAGGAGTTGGAGTCTGTGTGTCAGACTGGGTACAACTGTGTGTCAGTTAGTACATACCTGATAGGTTCAGGTTTCTATATAGGTAGCCAGAACTGATAGGTTCGAGCTTTAATAGTCAAACACTGTCACTAGACTGCCAGCACTGGGATCACTAAGGTTCTATTCTGGATTGGGTGGTTATTACCAATTTTTGATGATACCTGTCTGTCATGGGTTTGGAGGGAAAGTTCCATCCTATGGGGAGTGGAAGGCGGGACATCAGGGGGAGGAGCTGCACTGTATATATATTGGGAGCTTGTGTGGAGAGTTAGGAGTTGGAGTCTGTGTGTCAGACTGGGTACAACTGTGTGTCAGTTAGTACATACCTGATAGGTTCAGGTTTCTATATAGGTAGCCAGAACTGATAGGTTCAGGGTCTGTGCTTTACTTTAAAGTGTTCTGTGGGAACCAAACTGTTGTATGTATATGGTTGGGACTATGCCACGTTACAGTATCTTATTTACCTGATCATTTTATTTACCCTGTTTGTTATTTCAATAAACCTTATTCTTTTGTTTAGTAAAATCCATTCCTGGTCTGTGTGACTCCTTATAGGGAATGGTTGGTGGCAGCTTAACTAAAGGGTGGTATACTCCAGTAGGTCTGGGGTTGTCACAGGTGGTTATTACCAATTTTCGGAAATGACTTGGGAGAAGAATGCAGATAATGATGCAATATGCATATCATTAAATATGCAGATAGCACCAACCTGGGAGTGGTAGCTAATACTGAAAATGACTTTAAACAGTGAAAAATGTAAATTTCATGTAAGCAAGAGAAAGAAATGCAAACATGAAACTATATGTTTTTACTGTTTAAGACACAGATATCCTGCACTGTGAGAGATAGGAAGACTGAACTCCATGACCCTTGGGGTCCCTTCCAACTCTACCATTCTATGATTCCATTAAAAGGAAAATCCGTCTATGAACCAATGCTTCTTCTCATTGAAAACATGGATACACTGGAACTGCGTCGTATAACTTGGATGAGGAGACAGAAGTCTTTAATTTAAGATAATTAAGAGCTTCCTACCTTTTTTAGGTCCCAAGGCTAGCTAGGGCTCCCTTTTGCACTGGGGAAACCTTTGAGGGTCTCAGGACAGAGGGGTGAGGAGCTTTAATAGTCAAACACTGTCACTAGACTGCCAGCACTGGGATCACTAAGGTTCTATTCTGGATTGGGTGGTTATTACCAATTTTTGGAAATGACTTGGGAGAAGAATGCAGATAATGATGCAATATGCATATCATTAAATATGCAGATGGCACCAACCTGGGAGTGGTAGCTAATACTGAAAATGACTTTAAACAGTGAAAAATGTAAATTTCATGTAAGCAAGAGAAAGAAATGCAAACATGAAACTATATGTTTTTACTGTTTAAGACACAGATATCCTGCACTGTGAGAGATAGGAAGACTGAACTCCATGACCCTTGGGGTCCCTTCCAACTCTACCATTCTATGATTCCATTAAAAGGAAAATCCGTCTATGAACCAATGCTTCTTCTCATTGAAAACACGGATACACTTAATGCAACTTTCTAATACCAACTTCCTGCCCCTGGTTCCTCTTTCCTTCCAAGTAAGCCTTATATAATATTTTCATCAGCTTCTCTACTCCCTAAACAGTGTATCACCTTGTAGTATGGAAGAGCTAAAATGGAAGATTTTAACACTAGTATCTAGAAGCAGCAGATTTACAGTGTAGTTCTATCCAAAGTTACATAATCTTTTACTAGCAGATGGTAGTACTAACTGACCTATATTTATAGGGGAAGGAAGACTTTATGTTTTCAATGGGCTTAATTTTCAACTTACTGAGTTAGAAATCCAGCTGTGGAGCCAGAGGCTGGGAGCTCAATTGCCCATTGCACCTCCTGAGAGGAAAGCCAGGCTGTACAGTCATGGGCAAGCTGCAGTCCGGAGTGCCCACAGAAATCATAAAGAAATTCTGATTATTTTCAACCTAGAAAACCCTGGAAAGGGTTGTCATAAGTCAGAACTGATTTGATAACACATTATTATTATTAAACAGAAGTTTCTCCTATTAAGAATCAAACAATGGAGCTCACATCTTGTATTTGCTTACAGTGGAAATTCAAGTGCAGAAAAGAGCAGAATAAGGTGTGTTAATGAGCAGCCATAATGAACAGGTGTGTAGAAATGCTGAGTCATGATGACTCATGAGGGCTGACTCATGTATGATGCAATGTCTAATGTGACTGGACACAGACCGAAGTGCATTAAGTACGTATATATGTGTACTCCGCACAGTAGGTGTACTTCCTCCTGTTCTGATGAGTGTAATGCTGTTATGCTGCCGGACTGCACTGCTGTATATGGCCTGTAAATACACACTGGTGTTGGTGAAGTTGCCTGCGTATGCATGATTCTTTTGGACTGCCTGGACTGGACTTTATTCTACTAACTCTGCTGAATTTTCCACGTTCTTTTGCTAACAAAAGATATGTGAGTATAACTATGTTTTGAACGGAGAGCTGTTGATCTGTTATCTGAATTTTCCTGCTTTGGGGGTTACAGCTGCAAATACTACTTTCTGCTTTAAGATTTTTTTCTTTTTTGAAAACAAAGCTATATACAGAAACTTTCCAAAGACTAGTTTTTCTTCGCTTCTCATGGAATCCCTAGTAGTGACGCAGCAGACATGTGGCTGTATAGTTAATGTATTGATTACACTACAGTAAAATGGAAGTAAAATTTTAAAAACACAAGCCAAGCACTCTGAACAAGCACCTAAAAGCAGCAGGCAGTTCCGTGATGCACAACTCTAGCAAAAGAAGCTGAAGCAAATCAGAGAACTCCATTCCAGTGTTTCACCTGGCAATCAGCAGACTCTTTTTCTTGTTTGCTCCCTCCCCACAAAGCAAAGAAAGAACTCAGAGGTAGTTCTCTGCTTCCCTCTCTGCTTTGCTGGAAGAGAACAAACCTGAGAAGGGAAGCCGTTCAATAGCAGACACACAATGCACTACCAAGAGGGTATAATCCGGGAAGAAAATTAATCTATTTGGATCTCTGTGAATTGAGACTTGTAGTTTTTCAAAGAGCATGGTCTTGTAGTTTTTGAAAAGCATGAGATGGGCAAAGTAAAGAACAGGTAACTCCAAACCATGTCAAACCCCAGCCCTTCAACTCTTTGTCTCATTGGCTGGGGCATTCACTGGAGCAACCTCCTTAATATCCCAAGAGAGAGTATATAACCCAGAGGTTGATAAGGAGTGATAAAAAAAAGGAGCATCATGTGTTTGGTGAGGACACGAAAGAAGCCTTCTCAGTCACTGTTCCTAAACTGTGGAACTCCCTCCCACGGGAGATCATGCTGGCAATATAATATTACAAATTAATAGGTTTATGTATTTTAGGCCATTATAAACAGATGTAGCATTAAAATGTAAAATCTCTTTCTTATAGTTCGAAACTTTCTGCAGCAGGGCCACCAGGGGATTGATAACAATGGCCAGAAACCTTTCGTGAAATATCATATGCAGAAGGAAAAACTGCTCAAGTAGTTTTCACAATTTTCTGGTTGTCTATTGCATGATCCAGCATGCAACCGAGTGCAACAGCCAGGTGTATCTGGATGCCTGAGAGAGAGCAGAACAATAACACATTCCAGTTACATCACTCCAGGCTTATGCTGTGCAGACAACAATAGGAGTCTAGCCATTGCTTTTCAATCTCATCATTGGCTGTTCATGACGCAATCCAAGTCAACCATGTGGTGATAGCACTGGCATTCCTCACCTGTCCTTGCCAGTCAGATGTATTGACTAAAATGATATTTTCTGGTAGTTGGTCATCCGAGATCAAGATGTGATTCAACTGGTCATATACAGTTTTCCTAGGGATCTGTAAACACAAAATACCAAAAATGAAAACAGCCCTGTAGGATCTTTAGATCTTGGGACAAGTTCCAACTTCCAGATGTTTAACCAGTGCTGCTGAACATGAATCACTAATGATCTTCTGATGTTTTTCCTTAGCCAAGCTAAAGCAGCTAATAAACTAGTCCCTCAGAAATCTCTGGAAATCATGTGTTTGATTCAAGAATCGATCTATTGCCATTCACTTGCTGGGTAACCAACCCCTGACCTTCTAGACAATCGAAGGTCATCCGGACATCAAATGGAACATCTTTATATACCTTCTGAAGGCTTGTCAGGCACCACACAACATTAAATCAGTGAGGAAAGGAATACAGTGGTACCTTGACTTACGAACTTAATCCGTATTGGAACGGCGTTCGTACGTCAAAAAGTTCGTACGTCAAGGCAAACTTTTCCATAGGAATGTATTGAAAACCATTTGATCTGTACCTGCCATTTTTCATTCGTATGTCAAGGCGCTGTTCGTAGGTAGAGGCATTAGTTCCTATAGGAACTAATGCAAAGTCGGTTAATCTGTACTCTACCAATAGGGGGAGAATTTTTAAAGTTTTTTTCTTCTTTTGACCTAAGATGAACTTCGGTTTAAAAAAGGACAGGAAAGGGGTTTGTTTGTTTTTTGCTTTTTTTTTGTTCATAAATCGAGGCTCCGTTTGCACGTCAAAGCAACATTTTGTGAACGCAACCATTTGTATCCCAAAAGGTTTGCAAGTAGAGACGTTCGTAAGTTGAGGTACCACTGTAGTAGAAAAAGGGGGGAAATCCAAAAAGTAGCATAATTGCTTTTGATTCTTGTTCTCCTTCTTCCTGGAAAGATTATGTTTGACATTTTGCATTCTCAAACAACACAGCCTTGAATGGAGGTCAGAACAAGTTTGGGTCAAATGATGAGGATCCTAAAACTAATAAATTAGTTGCCAACAAAAAAAAATGTTTAACAATCTTTGACACTGCTGGGTTAGATGGTAAAATAGATGGGTCTATTCAGTCCCAGAACTTTAACAAGGAAGAAACTGGTAATGAATGCCCATAATGAAATGTCAAAAGCTACTTTTGAGGTACCAGTTCAACACTTCATATCTTGTGTGAAGCTATTTCTACAATCAAAGGAGACAGTTGTTATATATAATACTGCCAGATTAATCTGAAGTGAAATGAAGGCTGATATTCTACCTTTGGGCTGAATGCATCTAATTTTTAAAATATACATTAATCTATTCAGAGTTCCACTTTTTCCATTTTGCTCTCTTGATCTTCAATTAGAGATCTGGCAGAAGGACAGCAACTCTTTCAAGTGAATGCTCTGGTAAAAATGGATGTAACCTGAGGATTCTGAATAGACTCTGTCTTCTCTAACTCACCTACAGTATTTGCAGGTTGATAAAGGACTTTTTGGTTATTGTTCTCTTTCTTGCTGGAAAGATTGTTTTCCATTTTGCATTCTCAAACAACACAGCCTTGAATGGAGGCCAGAGAGTTCCAGAAAAACATCTACTTCTCCTTCATTGACTACGCAAAAGCCTTTGACTGTGTCGAGCACAGCAAACTATGGCAAATCCTTAAAGAAATGGGAGTGCCTCACCACCTTATCTCTCTCCTGAGAAATCTATATGTGAGACAGGAAGCAACAGTTGGAACTGGATATGGAACTGATTGGTTCAAAATTGGGAAAGGAGTACGACAAGGCTATATATTATCCCCCATCTTATTTACCTTCTATGCAGAATACATTATGTGAAAGGCTGGACTGGAGGAATTCCAAGCTGGAATTAAGATTGTCGGAAGAAATATCAATAACCTCTGATATGCAGATGATACCGCTGTGATAGCTGAAAGTGAGGAGGAATTAAAGAACCTCTTAATGAGGGTGAAAGAGGAGAGTGCAAAAAAATGGTCCGAAGCTCAACATCAAAACAAACTAAGATCATGGCCACTGGTCCCATCACCTCCTGACAAATAGAAGGGTAAGATATGGAGGCAGTGACAGATTTCACTTTCTTGGGCTCCATGATCACTGCAGATGGTGACAGCAGCCACGAAATTAAAAGACACCTGCTTCTTGGGAGCAAAGCGATGACAAACCTAGAGGGCATCTTAAAAAGCAGAGACCTCACCCTGCCGACAAAGATCCGCATAGTCAAAGCTATGGTTTTTCCAGTAGTGATGTATGGGAGTGAGAGCTGGACCATAAAGAAAGCTGACCGCCGAAGAATTGATGCCTTTGAATTGTGGAGCTGGAGGAGGCTCTTGAGAGTCCCCTGGACTGCAAGGAGAACAAACCTATCAATTCTAAAGGAAATCAAGCCTGAGTGCTCACAGAAAGGACAGATCCTGAAACTGAGGCTCCAATACTTTGGCCATCTCATGATAAGAGAAGACTCCTTGGAAAAGACCCTGATGTTGGGAAAGTGTGAAGGCAGGAGGAGAAGGGGACGACAGAGGATGAGATGGATGGACAGTGTCATGGAAGCTACTACCAACAAACTCCAGGAGGCAGTGGAAGACAGGAGGGCCTGGTGTGCTCTGGCCCATGGGGTCCCGAAGAGTCGGCCACGATTAAACAACAACAACAAAGGACTTTGTGCTCTGGCCCATGGGGTCCCGAAGAGTCGGCCACGATTAAACAACAACAACAAAGGGCAACAGTCCGGGATCATCCTCTAGAGTAATGGCCCCCAACCTTGGAGACTCAAGGATGGGAAACACTGCTTTAGAGTGAGAGTGCAAAGTCTCTTGCACCAAGTCCCAAAAACTCAAATTTAGGCCACATATCAGCTGAAAAGAGTTAATCTCTTCCTCTATCTTGCTCTTGATTTAAGAATTCTGTAATTCCCTCAAGGTGTCCATTTATCCCACAGAAGAAAATATTCATCCTCCCCTGTAGTAACAAAATGCTGTTCTTCACAGGAAAATAAGAACTGGAGAGGAGACAGACCTTGCAGCCCCGATCTGCACTGTAAAGTTAAGGGACCCTGCATCTTCCCCTGTCCCTGGACATGCTTTGTCTTATCTAGCTTGACCTTTAAAATAAAGCAGCTACTCTTGAAGAAACATTACATGTTTCTGAGTAATGTAGGGAATTAACAGCTGGTTGTAATTCATCTCAAATTAAAGAAACACAAAATATAGGATGCCTGAAGAGCCATCTGACCTGAAGGTGCTGCCTGGTATCTGGAGACCGTTCATTGTCCAGACTGTTGGCCCTTTCATTCTGCTGTTTGACTGGCTGCCTTTCCTTCAACGATGTGCTTCTGCCTCTACGGCCCACCTGCTTCCCTTCTGGTCTGCTAAAGAAGAATATTTACACGTTTACCAAGAAAATAAAGATACAACTGGAGCAGCTGACTATGCTGCAGTGTCCCTGGGGAACAAGCAGGAAGGAGGAAAGGACCAAGAACACTGGGCTTCTTTCCTTCAAAACGTTCATATACTGCTATTTATTAATGACTTCAAGGTGATTCACAGAAATTAAACAGCAATTCACAAGCAAATCAGCAAGCAGTTAAAAGCTCGATTAAGTCAGAGTTCTAAATTCTTAAGACAATAAAAGTGTTTTAATATGCCAGGTGAATGGGGAGCTTTTATCTTGTCAGCCAGACAGCAAATTTGGGGCCAGACATACTTCTTGGAGGCAGGAAGTCATAAACATGGCACTTCGGCGGGAAAAAAATCTATCTCATTTGATACAACAAACCTCATCTCTAATACAGTAATAATATAATACATTTGATACAACAAACCTCATCTCTAATAATAATATAATAACAATAATCTTGGAACTGCAGAGCTGGAAGGACCCTATGGATCACTGAGTCCAGCCCTGTCAAGGAGAGCCAGTGGGGAACTGAACTCTCTCTCTCTCTCACACACACACACACACAAGAGAGAGAGAGAGATTTATCTTCATATGAAACTTAGGATCAGGAAACCCTTTCAGGTCATTTCGGTCTGTATGAAGTATACCTACATGCCTTCAGAGTACATGAGGACATCTCGCTTAGAATTGCATGGCAGGTGGCCCCACGGCACAGGGCCTCCTCAGGACTCACCTCCTTTTTATGGAATTTTTTTTGGGATCTCTTGCCTGCCTCCTAGAGTTATCTGTTACTACCCAATGGATTAGTCAAGATGCTTCAGGATCAGAATTGCCCTTGTTTTGTGAGGCCAAACCTTACCGAAAAACAAAAAAGTCCAATTATTACTAGAATATCAACAGGGGAAGACAATAATAAAATAAAATAAAAATAAATTCCCATCCTTCAGTTTGTAGCTGTTCAGTTATTACCTACGCCATATTTATTTCCCAGTTTTGATGTAGGTTTATACTGGCAATATATTTTGTATGGTTTTTTTTGGTGTTTCGCTTAATTGGTTTCTTTTTAAAGACAGATTGAAAAAAAACCTGGTAGGTCAGCAAGTTGAAAAACTAGGAGTTATACAAGACCTAGGACAGAACCCTGGGATCAAAGAGGAACCTCGACTGTTGTACAGCTCAGTGGCTTAGGCCTCTGGCTGCAGAGCCAGATGCTGAGAGTTTGATTCCCCACTGGGTCTCCTTAAAAGGGGTTGAACCTGATGATCCATAGGGTCCCTTCCAGCTCTGCAGTTCCAATATTATTACTATTAATATTATTCATTATTATAACCTATCTAGAATTTGTCTGGAAGTAATTTTAGATAGAGTTTACTTGCTCCACTCAAAAGACTACAATCCCCTGTTTCTAGATAAGAGACAAATGCTAGGTACTGATGCTTATAGGCAAGTTACCTGCTGGGAGAAATTATCAGAGACTCTGTCTTTGTAATTCGGCCACATGGTGGAAGCTTTTCAGTGAAGACATCCAAAGCAGACATTTGCTCTGTTTCTGCCATATCTTCTTGTTGATTTTTCTATTTAAAAATATTTTAAAAGACATGAGAAGTACATATGGATGGGAGACTGAGTTTGGTTTTTGTCTGCAAGTACAATAGACAGGTACCAAAATATTCAAATATTTTAAAAGACATGAGAAGTACATACGGATGGGAGACTGAGTTTGGTTTTTGTCAATAGACAGATACCAAAATATTCTCTTTAAAAATATTAAAGGGCTGTAGCTCTTCGAAGAGCCAGTGCCATTTTGTACAAACTGAGCTAGAAGCTGCACTGCGCTGAGCTGATACAACACATCTTTCTATATTCCCTCTCTTAGTGACCCATCCAAGGATGTCCTGTGGTTAGACCAAGAGAGAGAGAGACAGAGATCCTCACTCCACCATAGGGGAGATGAGGCACTGGGTCACCCTGCTTAGATCGCAAGCTGCCAATGGATCCAGTCCTCTAAAAGACTAAAAACAGAAGGGGATTGTGAAGAAATATGCCCCCCAAAAGGCTCAGACTCTTGATAACAAAACAAACAAACAAACAAAACAAAACCTGCACTTACATAAGACATAGTGTCAGAGGTGCTATCTGCTGGTTGCTGACTTCTAAGATTCTTGTTCTCTTCTGGCATTTCTACCTGTTTTACAGAACAGCATGTAAAACAAGAAATGATATACATTTGGATAGTTTAGTCCTGAGAATTGCACTGAATGCCATCACTGCAATAATACAGATCTCGAAAGACAGGAGGAGGGGAACCCTCTTATATAAAGCAAAAGATTGTAGTAGAAACCACACTCCCAAACATAAAAACCGCACATCATACTTCAATGCCATCTCCTTACTGACAGTATGCATCCCTCAAATTGACTGAAAAGGATCAGAAAATATCCTTTTTTAGGGAAAGTTTCTGTTTACAAGGCTTTTTTTTACCATTGTCTAATGGTTACGTTAAAAAAAAACCCAGCATTTATACATTAAGGAGAAATTCATACATTTTGTTCTTTTTTTCTGTTAAGCCCTAGTAGCATTAATACAGATGCTTGGAGACTGTAATACATTTGAGATTAACTTAACTTTTAATTGCTTTCATTTTTTCTTAAATGCATAGATTAATGTGATATCGGAAGAAGCCTTACAGGACTTGGTGGTTCCCTCTGGCTTTTCATGCTGTGAAGGCTTCCAACCTCTGTCTGAGAGCTTGAATGTGACAAGCCTTCAAAATAAGGTCTACAAGAAGAACACAAAGAATATTATGCTCATAATATTTTATACAGGCTTTAGAAGGTCCATGACATAGCCAAGACTCCAAATGATGCACATAGCTTTTCTGACCATACTTTCCACAAGCATAAGGACTACACTGCTTGGAAGTCTGAGGAAAAACACTGAAATTAGACACATCCCAGAATTACTTTGTCTTCATGACTGAAATGAAGTAATGGACTAAGAAGAAAATCCCAACAGCTAGGATCAGTCTGTCCAGCTTGAAACAGAAAACAAGGCTGGTTTTGTTTCTGATTTTACTATGACTCCCAAAATCTCCCAGCCCCTGGCCATGCTACCTCAGAAATTACCAGGAGTGAACTCGCCCCTCCAAACGACTTCTTCAGATTCTGGTTTGAACTGTATCGATTCTGAATTTGCATGAGGATTCTGAACTTGTGTGGACAACTAAGTGAAAGAAGGACTGATTCCTTGCTACAAACCACATTCCAGCACATCTGTTTTGATCCACTGCTAATCCTACGTGATCTATTTAGATGAGACTATGAAGCAGTTGCACAAAAAAATTGTTAACATTTCTGCCTATAGCAGCAAGGCAAGAGTTGGTCCATAAATTGAAAAATGGCAAAGAATTTCTTAAATAGCTTACAACAAACATGTCTGAGACATTGCCCTTGTTGAAAGGCTAACAAAAAATCTGAAAACCTAACAAGCAAGACATTTATTTACTTTGAAAAACAATGGAAATATTCTGGAAACATCCTGGTTTGTTCTTTTACTTGTATAATATGATTTTTTAAATGTACATGACAGTATAAAATACATGATTATATTGTATTTTTTCAATGCATAACAATATTTAAATTAGAAAAAAAATACAAATATATTTGATTCAGTAGGTCCACTGTAAATGGAACTATAACTGGATTCAGAGCATATACATTAACAAATCTGTTAGTCTTCAAGGTACTGCAACACTCCTTCTGTCTCTATAACTGGTTATAAAAAAGTCCAGGTAAGTTGTTCTAACCAGTAGAACTCTGTTAACATTGCATAGATAAAAGCCAACAGTAAATAGGGTGAAATGTCAAATACTCTTACATTCCCAGTTTGCTATTCCAACATCTCCCCAAAATAAGTTTAAGAATCAGGTCCTCTTACTTTAACTTTGGTTTAGGAGTGCTGAGTACACTGTCATCATCTTCCATGTCAGGTCCACTGTCACTAGGATTGTCAATATCAAGGGTGTCATAGAGAAGGTCCAGATCTTCTTCTACCTCTGGAACATGATCAGCTACATCCTGCTCAGAATCTAAAACCTAGACACAAAATCAAAAGCAGTTCAACAATTATCAAGTAGACACATATAGGAAGTAGAAGGAAGACCAGGCTACATTTCAGTGTAACAGGTATACTGACTAGGCAGTTAGGACAAAAGAAATACGGTTAGCAGCTTTTTTTGTTTTCTACTCATTTGGCTTCAAAGTTTTAGAAACTGTACCAACAAAGCTCACTGGATGTTAAACAGTTTGAAAAAATGTTTTTTTTCAACTACACTTCCCAGAAACACCTAGCCAGCAACCAGGCTGGTTGGAAGATCCTTAGAGTTACAGCACAGCTCAAACAAAGATCCTCTAGAACAGGCAAGATATGAGCATGCAACAGAGGTGTAAGCATGTCCGCACAACAATAGGAAGGACAGATCTTTGTATGTTTGTTCCAGAAATCTGCAGAAGTGAAGCACTCCCATGACTGGTAACCCAGAGCTCCTGACCATGGGAAGTTTCTGCAGACCTTGGTGAGAAACATTGAATGATTGATTGATTGGATTGGATTGGATTGGATTGGATTGGATTGGATTGGATTTGTATCCCGCCCATCTGGTCTGGTTGACCACTCTGGGCGGCTTCCAATAAACGTATATACAATAAAAACACAGAGATTTAACAAACAATCCATAACACATACAATAATAGAACAGATAATGAAAAGAATAAAGGAAGAGTTAAGTATGCAATGCAATGATCTGCCTCACTTCTCTTAATCATCGCAGCTGAGTATATTTTTACATGCCAAAATTGAGTTACGTATATTCACCGTATACTGAGGTCTATTAATCACAATTCAAACTCACTGATTTCTATGGGAATCATGTTCAGCTAACAGTCTCGACTGCAGAAAAAGGCCACCAGAGTCTGTGGGAGACTGAATATGCTTTTGCACAAGACACAAAAGTTAGTAGCAGCATCATTCCTTCAAAAGAGAGATAACAGTTCCCAATTTTTCCCTGTCACTGTTTAAGGGAGGTCCAACCACACAGGGCGGCTAAAATGCTTCAACTATAGTAATAATATTAATCTGTTATTGAAATCTAACACTACTTCATATGGAAAAATTAAAATCCAGGAGCCCATTTTAGCTACTGCGACATCGTCAAACAACTGGATTGTTCAAGCAATTTGTCCTATCTCTCTTATAAAAGTGCTCTATACATGTCAGACAAATAAAACCCGATATGGAAGGGACAGAAGATGCTGGAGAAAGCAGTAACATCCAGTTTACCTCATCAGCTACTTTAAACCTTCTCAACAACGCCACCACTTTTTGCTTGAAGTTTTGTTGCTGTAAATATAAACACAAAGACAACATCAATCAATGCAACATTTTCAGGTGGGAAAACTCTTCTGCACACTGTATTGTATTACCCACTACAGTATGTATGGGCAACCTCCGCAGATCCAGGGGCAGTTTCATCGCTTGATATGCCTGTAAATGTCTTAATCCGCCTGTTGCTGAAATTCAGCAGAATGGCTGTAGGTAGAAATGCTTCTGCATAAAGAACACAACGCTAAAACAAGGTGAGGATAAAAGGTGAATATTTCTGGCAATGCAATTCTCCAATAAAAAGCAAAGCCGGCACTCCCACACACTTTATTTTAGTGTTAAATGGAAGGTTTTAAGGTAGTGCCAGGAGCTGTGGGGGTGTCAAAACACAGGGGAGGTGCGCAACCCCTTCTATTCCTGTAGTAACAAAACCACTGCTTTCCTCAATCAATGCATGCAAGTAACTAGCAAACCATTAACCCAGTACTGCTCATCAATTGGACAGATCCATCCCAGTGAGGATTTGGGCCAGAATTTCTGGCCAAACAGGGACAGCAGGTGCCAGCCCATGTCACAAAAAGTGGCATCTGATTCACAGGCTGAGGCAACAGATTGATGGGATCATTGATTGCAAGTTGTACTAGATATCTCTGTTCTGGATGTTTCCACACAATACTAGGCTCTGCTTTCTTAACCGGCAAGTAGTGCCTAACTTCTCTTGACTTTTCTGTCTGTAGTTGTACAGTCCATTTTGGATTCCAGAATCCACTTGGCACTAAGTAGAAATAACAAATTGCTGACTGGCATTATTTCTCTCTCTCTCTCTCTCTCTCTCTCTTTCTTTCTCACTGCCAGGTAGCTGTTGTCAGTCCTAAACCCCAATAGCTAAAATTCATTTATAAAACTCTTTTAACAATGTCAATATTTCTGGAAATGTCCAACAAAAAAGTTATATTAGTTGGTTAGCCATCCTTAGTGGAAATTCACAGGAGCTCTAAATCCCACATTTCATCTGAAATCAACTCTCATAACATAAAGGGCTTTTTTTTCATCCAGCATAATTCCTGAAGGATAGTAATTAAGTGGAGAGTTTTCCCACCATTGTGTGTGTGTGGGGGGGAGAGAAAGTGCTACAGAGTTGATAAATCAGTAATTGCAGGTTAAAACTATTTATATTTTGAGTATGTAACCTATATTATGATTAATTGAATAGTAAGAGAATTGTCACCCACTAAGAAATAAATGCAAGCCTCCCATTTTTCCTGTGTTGGCAGGGATCCGAACTACATGGCCCTCCAACTCTACGATTCTGTGATTCAATGGCCAAAATCCTCTTGCTATGTTATGAAACTGAAGTAAACTCTGAAAACAAATCGTCCCAAAGTAAGAATTCACTGTACACACAATTGGTTGCACACTGAACCACACAGCACAACATGCAACAGATAGTGGCTGAAATCCTGTTGGTGCACCTCGAACCCACACAAGGCTGATGCCATCAGTCACTGCCTTTTATAACTAATGAAAAGTTTCCAATCTTCCCTCCCAAGTTCCTTAGCTCCCAAGAGATTCTTTTTATCCTGAGGAACCCTTTGGAGGCTGTGGGACAGATATACCAGATGATATACTGAAGTGGCACCTGGGAGATTCAGATTCTAATCCCCATGGAACTCAGAAACTCACTGAGTTACCTTGAATTGGTTACTGTCTCTGAGCCTGATCAACTGCACAAGCTTTTTGTAATGATAAAGTTTAGGCTCCATGAAAGAAAAATTCAAATTTATCTTGAGAGGAACTATCTTCTTATGACACCAGTACAGAGCCTCACGTTTCATTCACTAGACATAACTTGAGATCTGTGAAAGACTGCTAATATAAATGAAAGTGTTCCCACCATCCTCAGTTAGGCATCCTTGAGTCTCGAGAGACGATGGTAACGTGCTCTGTATGGAGGACTTGGAACAGCATCTAGTGTGGCTGAGAAGGCCAATTCGAGAGTGACAATCTCCTCCACAATGAGGACAAATACAAGGGAAAGGATGTCCAGCTCCCTGATTTTGCTGCTTTTGTGACTTCCTCTTTGCCTCGGCCTGCTGGACAAGGGTCTCCTCAAATTAGGAGAGGCCATGATGCATCACCTGCCTCCAGGCTGAACGCTCCGATGTCAGGGTTTCCCATCTGTTGAGG